GAGCAGAATTGAGGCAATGGAAGTCAGAATTAGTGAGACTGAAGATAAAGAACTTGACACCAACTTATTGGAGGAAAAATCAGATAAAAGGATTTTTAAAAATTGAAGAAACCCTCAGAATTATGGGGGACTCTATCAAGAGGAATAACCTACAAGTGATTGGAGAATGGAGCGGGGGGTGGTGGAGGATAACAGAAAATACAGAGAGAATTGTTGAAGATTTGTTGGCAGAAAACTTCCCTGATATCGTGAAAGATGAGATGATATCTATCCAAGATGCTCATTGAACCCCACATAAGGTAGAGCCCAAAAGAAAGTCACCAAGACATATTATAGTCAAACTTGCCAAAACCAAAGATGAAGAGAGAATTTTAAGAGCGGCTAGGGATAAAGGAAAAGTCATCTACAAAGGAGAGTCAATAAGAATAAGCTCGGACTACTCAGCAGAAACCATGCAAGCAAGAAGGCAATGGGATGACATATATAAAGTCTTCAAGGAAAAAAATTGCCAGCCAAGAATCATATATCCAGCAAAACTGTCTCTCAAATATGATGGCAAAATTAGGGCATTTCCAGATAAACATAAGTTTAGGGAATTTGCAAAAACCAAACCAAAATTACAAGAAATACTAGAGGGAGTCCTCTGGTTAGAAAATCAGTAACACCAGATAACGACTCAAGACTAGAACATAGGACAGAGCAACCAGATATCAACCCAGATAGGAAAGTCACAAAAATAAATCAATGCTAAAACACTGAAAATAGGGAAACAGAGATGTCAATATGTAAAAGATGACAACATTAAAACAAAATAGAGGAACTAAAAAATGTAGACATAGATTTTTCATATGGAGAGGAAGTCAAGGCGATATAAAGAAATAAAAGACTGGTATAAACTTAGAGAAATAGGGGTAAATATTAAGGTAACTACAAAGGAAACTAACAATACTACACGTCAAAAACAACATGTGTACTAACTGTTTAATGAGCATCTATTTGTTCTCTAAACCTTCATCTAAAGTACAATTAAAAAAAAAAAACATTGCAGGTGTTAATAATCCCAATAAGCAGTTGAACATAAACATTATTAAAAACTGAGGGAAAAAAAGATACAGAGGTATATAAATACTAAAAAAAAAAAAAAAAGTTAACCAGTGCTGCAACCCCAGGTGTTACAGAGTAGAACTGCTCTGTGAGGGTTTCCATAGGGGTTTCTTAGCTGTAATCTTTAGGATGCAGAGTGCCAGGACTCTCTTCTGCAGTGCTGCTGGATGGGTTTGAACCACCAATCTTTTTATTAGTAGTCGCATATAAACCATTAATGCCACCCAAAGACCTTCCATATAGATACTAGGCCATGATAGTCTTCAAGTAAAATACAATTATACCCTAAATGAGAATTGCAATGTCTTTGTAACACATCACCATATAAGTCTCAAAGAAAGAAACGTAAAGAACTGGAGAGTTACAACTCAAAGTCAGAGAGTTTTGAGTGCCAACTACCAAGTTACAGGTGCCCATGGGTAAATTTAAGGCTTTGGCAGCCTAAAAAGGAATATGTAGAAATAAAAGAGTAGGCAAAGAAGAAAATAAAAATGAAAATCAGGAGGCTGGACGTTGTAACATTGGATGATTTTGATTCCATAGAAACTGAACTCGCACCTGTGCCCAATGTGGGGCCCGCTCGATTTCTGAAAGAATGAACTATGGCCGTATTTTAAAGATGGATTCTTCGCAGATTGATGATTTTCACACGATGAGGACACTGCGGAAAGAGCGTTTCCGGGGAAGATAAGCAATGTGGGAGAAATGCGAAGAACCATAAAATGTCACCTATGCTCCCAAAAGGGACCTAGTCTGCTCCTCGGCCTTCAGACAAGGCCACACTGCCATTATCCGCAACAGTCAAGAATCCATCAAATAAGTTAGAATTCCAATAAAATGGGAAAATGCCCTCATTCACTGGTTCTGATGGTGATTGCTTTTTATTGGGGCATCCACCTAGCAAGGAGCAAGGTGACTGCTCTCTGATTCAGCTAGGGCGGGTGGTGGTAAAAATGAATTAATCAGATACATCTATTGAAAGGACCTCATCTGTTCACCCGATGACATACCCTGAGGTCCTTGGCGTTTATGAGATTCCCAGTGACTCGTTTGTTTTTAAGATGATAATGCAGCAGTAAGAATATATGTAATAAGGTACCATTTTGAGAGTCATACAATCTCAGATTTTGATATGATAGCACATAAATATGCAAGGACTTGTGTTCAAAGGCATTAATAGTAGGTGTGGCAAAAATGATAATCTGTGCTGAGTAGGGGTGGGATTGCAGGGCAGGGAATGTCTGCTAGTGTTTGTCAGGAATATGTCGAAACCTGGAGACAACGAAGACCTTTTTGTATGTTTTGCTAATCGTACTTATTTTTTGTTGTTTTTGTTGACGGATAGGAACTAAAATTCAGACCGAAGCAATCCAGGTCGGTTTCTATCTATATGCCATTTCTCCCAGTACGAAAGGACAAGAGAAATAGAGCCCACTCCCACACGAAGCGCTCTAAACTTAATTTTATGAATTAATCTCAATATAAACAAGTTGACCAACCCTGCCCAAGACCAGGGCCTGTTAAGATGGCAGAGACCGGTAATTGCGTAAGACTTAAACCTTTATGATCAGAGGTTCAATTCCTCTTCTTAACAGTGTTTATAATCAACCTGTTCTCACTGATTGTACCGATTCTGGTAGCCGTAGCCTTTTTAACCCTAGTCGAATGTAAAATTCTAGGCTACGTGCAGCTCCGCAAAGGCCCCAATGTTGTTGGGCCTTACGGCCTCCTACAACTCTTCGCAGATGCGATCAAACTTTTCATCAAAGAACCTCTCCGACCCTCAACCTCCTCAAAACTTATATTTACAATCCCTCCAGTCTTAGCCTTAGCCCTAGCCCTAACTATATGAATTCCACTACCAATGCCATATCCCCTAATCAACATGAACCTAAGCATACTATTCATTCTAGCTATGTCAAGCCTAGCCGTATATTCCATCTTATGATCAGGCTGAGCATCAAATTCCAAATACGCCCTAATTGGGGCCCTACGAGCAGTAGCTCAAACCATTTCTTATGAGGTCTCACTAGCAATTATTCTACTTCCAGCAATACTTATAAATGGGTCATTTACCCTATTCACCCTAACCACTACCCAAGAACGCCTCTGATTAATCTTTCCCCTCTGACCACTAGTTATAATATGATTCGTCTCAACCCTAGCAGATACCAATAGAGCTCCATTCGACCTAACCGAAGAAGAATCTGAACTGGTATATCAGGCTTCAACGTTGAATACGCTGCGGGGCCGTTTGCTCTATTTTTCATGGCTGAATATGCCAACATCATTATAATAAATGCCCTCACAACCATCCTATTTTTAGGAGCATTTCACAACCCACTGCTACCAGAAATTTACACAATCAACCTTGTTCTAAAGACTTCTCTACTAACCACCTGCTTTCTTTGAGTACGAGCATCCTATCCACGATTTCGATATGACCAGCTTATACATTTATTATGAAAAAATTTCCTACCACTAACACTGGCCCTGTGTATATGACACGTATCAATCCCCATTATACTAGCATGCATCCCTCCACAAACATAAAGAAATATGTCTGACAAAAGAATTACTTTGATAGAGTAAACTATAGAGGTTTAAGCCCTCTTATTTCTAGAATTATAGGATTCGAACCTAAACCTAAGAATTCGAAAATCTCCGTGCTACCACTTACACCATATCCTACACTAGTAAGGTCAGCTAAATAAGCTATCGGGCCCATACCCCGAAAATGTTGGTTTATACCCTTCCCGTACTAATTAATCCCCTGATCCTCAGTATAATCCTAATAACCCTAATAATAGGAACTATAGCCACCATACTCAGCTCAAACTGACTACTAGCCTGGATAGGCCTAGAAATAAATATACTAGCCATAATCCCCATCCTAACCATAAACTCCAACCCACGATCCACAGAAGCAGCCACAAAATATTTCCTAACCCAGGCCACCGCATCCATACTACTTATAATGGCCATCATAATTAACTTCATACTGTCAGGACAATGATCAATTACCAAACTACCCAATATAACAACCTCAAGCATAGCCCTAGCAGCATTAATAATGAAATTAGGACTAGCTCCGTTCCACTTCTGAGTGCCTGAAGTGACCCAAGGGACGAATCTAATTTCAGGAATAATTCTGTTAACCTGACAGAAACGAGCACCCTTATCCATTCTTTACCAAATTATCCCCTCAATTGATTTTAGTATTCTCACCATTTCAGGGTTACTCTCAATCTTAGTAGGGGGCTGGGGAGGTCTAAACCAAACTCAACTACGAAAAATTCTGGCCTACTCATCAACCGCACACATAGGCTGAATACTAATTATTATACCCTACAACCCATCCCTCACTATCCTGAACCTCGTAATCTATATCCTCATGACACTCTCCATCTTTATAATCCTAACAAACAATTACTCTACCTCCACATCAACCCTATCCCTCCTCTGGAATAAAACCCCAACAATAATAGTCATACTCATAATCACCCTACTGTCACCAGGTGGCCTTCCACCACTATCAGGATTCATGCCCAAATGACTAATCATCCATGAACTAACTAAAAACGACAGCATCATCCTACGTATATCCATGGCCATATTTGCTCTGCTCAATCTATATTTCTACATGCGCCTAATCTACTCCTCCTCACTCACCATTTTTCCATCAACAAACAATATGAAAATAAAATGACAATTCACCAACCCCAACCACCTCACCTTCCTCCCTCCCCTAATTATCCTATCAACCCTAATTCTACCACCCACCCCCACCCTCTCCATTCTGGAATAGGGATTTAGGTTAGCAGAGACCGAGGGCCTTCAAAGCCCTAAGCAAGTTAGTGACACTTAATCCCTGATCTAAGGACTGCAAGATTCTACCTTACATCAACTGGTTGCAAACCAGACGCTTTAATTAAGCTAAATCCTCCTAGATTGGTGGGCTCCTACCCCACGACACTTTAGTTAACAGCTAAACACCCTAAACAACTGGCTTTAATCTACTTCTCCCGCCTTGAAAAAGAAAGGAAAAAGGCAAGAGAAGCCCCGGCAGAGTTGAAGCTGCTTCTTCGAATTTGCAATTCAATGTGTAATTACACCACAGGGCTTGGTAAAAAGGAGGCTATACTCCTGTGCTTAGATTTACAGTCTAATGCTTTACTCAGCCATTTTACCTATGTTCATCAATCGTTGACTATTCTCAACCAATCCCAAAGACATTGGAACCCTGTACCTACTATTCGGCACTTGAGCCGGGATGGTAGGGACTGCTCTGAGCATCTTAATTCGGGCTGAATTAGGTCAACCCGGTACCCTCCTAGGAGATGACCAAATTTATAACGTCATCGTGACGGCCCATGCTTTCGTAATAATTTTCTTCATGGTAATGCCCATTATAATCGGAGGGTTTGGAAACTGGTTGGTCCCTCTAATAATTGGAGCGCCTGACATAGCGTTTCCCCAAATAAATAACATGAGCTTCTGACTTCTACCTCCATCGTTCCTTCTCCTTCTAGCCTCATCTATAATCGAAGCTGGGGCTGGGACAGGCTGGACAGTTTACCCGCCTCTGGCAGGGAACCTGGCTCACGCTGGAGCCTCGGTAGATTTGACTATCTTCTCACTACATCTAGCTGGAGCATCTTCAATTCTAGGGGCTATTAACTTTATTACTACAATCATCAATATGAAACCTCCAGCCATATCTCAATACCAAACTCCTCTGTTTGTCTGATCCGTTCTAGTTACAGCCGTCCTACTTCTTCTGTCTCTCCCAGTCTTAGCAGCAGGAATCACTATACTCCTGACTGACCACAACCTAAACACTACCTTCTTTGACCCAGCTGGAGGAGGAGACCCAATCCTGTATCAGCACCTATTCTGATTTTTTGGGCACCCCGAAGTATATATTCTTATTCTACCAGGCTTCAGTATAATTTCACACATCGTCACTTACTATTCAGGTAAAAAAGAACCATTTGGATATAAAGGGATGGTTTGAGCTATAATGTCGATTGGTTTCCTCGGATTTATCGTATGAGCCCACCACATATTTACTGTAGGAATAGACATAGACACTCGAGCCTATTTCACGTCAGCCACAATAATTATTGCCATCCCGACAGGTGTAAAAGTATTCAGCTGATTAGCTACACTCCACGGTGGCAATATCAAATGATCTCCTGCCCTACTATGAGCCCTAGGCTTTATTTTCCTATTCACAGTCGGAGGCCTGACAGGAATTGTTCCAGCTAACTTATCATTAGACGTTGTCCTCCATGACACCTATTATGTTGTGGCACACTTCCACTATGTTCTATCTATAGGCGCAGTATTCGCCATCATAGGCGGATTTGTCCACTGATTCCCTCTATTTTCAGGATATACACTTAATCAAACATGGGCTAAAATCCACTTCCTAATCATATTTGTAGGTGTTAATCTAACATTCTTCCCTCAACACTTCCTTGGTCTATCTGGTATGCCTCGTCGATACTCAGACTACCCAGATGCCTACACCATGTGAAATACTGTATCCTCTATAGGATCATTTATCTCGCTCACGGCCGTAATCCTAATAGTATTCATGGTATGAGAAGCATTCGCCTCTAAACGAGAAGTCTCTACAGTCAAACTAACAACAACCAACCTAGAATGACTCAACGGCTGCCCACCTTCATACCACACATTTGAAGAACCAGCCTACGTCAAGGTCTAGGACGAGAAAGGAAGGAATCGAACCCCCTAAAACTGGTTTCAAGCCAACCCCATAGCCTTTATGACTTTCTCCACGAGTGAGGTGTTAGTAAAACGATTACATAACTTCGTCGAAGTTAATTTATAGGTTAAACCCCTTTATACCTCTATGCCATATCCTCTCCAGCTAGGACTCCAAGATGCCACATCCCCAATTATAGAAGAATTAACACATTTCCATGACCATACCCTAATAATTGTGTTTCTCATTAGCTCCCTAGTTCTTTACATTATCTCATCCATACTAACCACTAAGCTAACACATACTAGTACTATAGACGCCCAGGAGGTAGAAACAATTTGAACTATTCTCCCAGCTATAATCCTAATTCTAATCGCCCTCCCGTCCTTACGAATCCTCTATATAATGGATGAGATCAATGACCCATCACTAACAGTAAAAACGATAGGGCATCAATGATACTGAAGCTATGAATATACTGACTACAAAGATTTGGCTTTCGACTCCTATATGATCCCCACTAATGACCTTGAACCTGGACAACTACGGCTGCTAGAAGTTGATAACCGAGTGGTCCTACCCATAGCAATACCAATCCACATATTAATTTCATCAGAAGACGTCCTACACTCATGAGCTATTCCATCTATAGGCCTGAAAACAGACGCAATTCCAGGGCGACTGAACCAAGCAACCCTAATATCATCACGACCTGCCCTATTCTACGGCCAGTGCTCTGAAATCTGTGGATCCAACCATAGCTTCATACCAATCGTTCTGGAGCTAGTTCCACTTAAACACTTCGAAGACTGATCAGCATCTCTACTATAAGACACTGAGAAGCTAAACTAGCGTTAACCTTTTAAGTTAAAGTCTGAGAGCCAAGCCTCTCCTCAATGGATGCCCCAACTAGATACAACCACATGATTTATCACAATCGTCTCTATATACATTACTCTATTTATCCTTTTCCAAATCAAGCTATCAAATTTCACCTACCCTCTAAACACATCACACATTTCCCCCAACACGACTGATCACTCAACCCCTTGAGAAGTAAAATGAACGAAAACCTATTTGCCTCTTTCATTGCCCCCACAATAGTGGGCCTACCCATTGTTATTCTTATTATTGCATTCCCAGCAATATTATATCCTACCCCAAATCGACTTGTTAACAATCGCTTAATTTCTATCCAACAATGACTAGTCCAGCTTACCCTCAAACAAATACTACTAATCCACAACGTAAAGGGTTGTTCGTAATCCCTTATACTAATTTCACTAATCCTGTTCATTGGCTCAACTAATCTTCTAGGCCTGATCCCATATTCATTCACACCCACCACCCAACTATCCATAAATCTAGGCATGGCCATCCTCCTATGGGCCGGAGCAGTAATTACAGGGTTCCGACATAAAACCAAGGCTTCATTAGCTCACTTCCTCCCGCAAGGCACACCGATCGCACTAATCCCGATACTCGTAGTAATCGAGACCATTAGTCTATTTATTCAACCAATGGCCCTAGCTATCCGTCTCACCGCCAACATCACAGCTGGCCACTTCCTCATGCACCTAATCGGAGGGGCCACCCTGGCCTTAACGGCTATCAGTCCTGCAACCGCTACAATCACCTTTATCATTCTATTACTCACAATCTTAGAATTTGCGGTGGCACTGATTCAAGCATATGTATTTATGCTGCTAGTTAGCCTGTACTTACATGATAATACCTAATGACACACCAGACACATGCCTATCATATAGTTAACCCAAGTCCATGGCCTCTGACCGGGGCTCTATCGGCCCTCCTTATGACTTCTGGCCTGGTAATATGATTCCACTATCACTCAGCTATTCTTGTATTATTAGGCCTGCTAACCAACGTCCTAACACTATATCAATGATGACGAGACGTAGTTCGGGAAGGCACCTTTCAAGGTCACCACACGCCAGTTGTACAAAAAGGCTTACGATACGGAATAGTCCTATTCATCGTCTCAGAAATCTTCTTCTTCGCAGGCTTCTTCTGAGCATTCTACCACTCCAGCCTCGCCCCAACGCCCGAGCTAGGTGGTTGCTGGCCCCCCACAGGCATTCACCCTCTTGATCCCATAGAAGTCCCACTTCTAAATACGTCAGTCCTACTGGCCTCAGGAGTAACCATCACTTGAGCCCACCATAGCCTAATAGAAGGAAATCATAAACA